GCTTATGGTAAAAAATTGTGTACAGATTGTAGATCGTGAATATAAAATGTAACTAAAAATATTGTAACCTAGCTTATTTGCTTCATTAACCTAGGTACCTATAAACGTAATTATGCATTCATGCTAACTGTTAACAATTATATTATTTCGTCATAACAAATTGTAGACATTTAAAAAAATTATGCAATATACGTCATAATAATATAATGATTTGGATTAGTCATTTGGATTTGGTGCTGGCTGTCGCCGGGATCTCGGGACGGCATCCGGTGAACTACTGGCGATACTACTAGCGATTATGACGGCACCCGCCATAATTAGAAACAGCGCAGAGCGCCTTGTAGCGGCACCCGCCATTTACCATGCATCGTATTTTCTATTGCAGTGAGCAATCTATAGTATTTATAATCAATGGTATTAGGTAACGTCGTATAGGTATCTACTGTAGACTCTAATTGGGTCACATTTGTCTCATATTTGTTATGTTAAAAACATATTATGAAAAAAAAAAAAAAAATGTATTTAGATGCTTACCTATTGGCTATTATTTTTTTTTTAATAGTTATGTCTGGCGTTCACCATTATTATAATGGTATTCCATTGTCCGACGTACGGATGACATACTCCAAATGTATGAATCATTTTTTGTTACTGTCCTTTTCCTTTTCGCATATATTATGCTTCTGCGTGTACTAGAGGAACAAGTATATGTATACATCATGTACAATCAATGGCGCCAATTGTACCTCTAAACGGTTGAGGTGCATATTATGCAAAATTATCCCCAATCTTTTGCCTTTCAATATCATTTATTGGACATTTAATCCATTTTCTAAGCAGACGTTGATTGATAGCATCATCAGTAACAGAATGAACCTGACCGGCTGACTGATGATTGGTTAATATCAAGCATACTATAGCCCCTTAGCCCTGTATGGTGGCTTCTCTGTGAATAAAAGTGAATACAAACTAATACTTAAACAAAACTATTAAAAAATTAAGTAATTATAGACTATAGTAAGTAAACTACAATTAGTTGAATATCCTAGGTAGGTACTTATTTATTTACTTATTGTATTTTAGGAGACAATTCAGAAGTTCGTCTACAGTGTAATGACGGGCGTTTTTGCATGATCCTTCCAAAACCATACTGACTTATAGAGTTATTACTAAAAATGTTAAAATTAAATACGTATACTCAATGTAATGTTATTTGATAAAAACCGATAATTTAAGTATTTTGGTAAAGTAGATACATACTCGTATGCGGTGTGTCGGCTATAAAGATAATTTTAAACAACGATAACAGTGATGACTTCAGATATAATATTTCGTTAACGAGGGATTTCAATGTGTCATTTTCGATAAGCAGTGCTTTCGATTTTTTTTTTTTTTAACGAAAACTATTGTTAACTTATCGGAAACCTAATTACAGAATTCCTTTTATTTCAATTTGTCGATAACATTCCTTTCGATAGCATGGCGAACCGAAATTTGTCGTTTACCCGACTTATCGAGTTACAGAATTCACCTGCCGCGACCAAAGATGTACGAGTGATCGCCGGATGAAAAAATAAAAGCACTCTGTACAACATTATTATACCCATTCTGTATACATGACCATTGACCGTGATAATATTATATATATATATAAATATAATTACTTATATATTATATGTTACGTTAATAATAAGTTATAACGGTATATTTTAAATATTTAAATATCGTGCATACGCACAGCTCGGCAGGTAGGTTCGTATTTTGTATAGATCGGTGCGCTAGGCGTATACTCCGCTACTCGTACTACTTAAGTACGAGAGCCCATAACAAAACCGTAACTCCCGCGTACCTAATGTTTTCGAATCACGAAATTTTCGTTCTGTGAGCTATATGCGCGCGGCACAATACACGGGTATACAATATTGTATACGAAATACGTATCCGTGGCGTGTATAATGCAATACACGTATAATACACACAATATTGACAATGCGCATTATATTTTATGGGTATAGGTATAATAAAAAAATAAATCGATACGGGCAAACCCAAAGCACCTTAGTGTATAATAATGGAAATAATAATAATACAAGTACCGCTTTTTTTTTTTCTTTTGTATAATATAATAATATATAAGCAGGGTATTTCGAAATTTGTACGACAGTAGAGTCGGTGTTGCTACTGTCGCAGTAGCAACGAATAGTTGGCAACCGTAGACGGTTGACAGTGAATTTCGATAAGAAACGTCTGTAAAAGTGTGACACAACAGTAAAAAAAAAAAAATAGTAATAATAGAACACAATAATATGTGCACTATCATGATAGTCACTATACCAATCTCACAGTGCCGCGATAGTATCTATCGACTATCGTGCATGTGTATTCGCGTATGCACGACAGTTTAATAGTAAGTTATTGGCTAGGTACTATTAAGTGTTACTATGGTCCCATTCGTTAATCGTACGAAAAATTGTTCGGTTTTCCCATTTATCATAATAAGAAAACTACAAGGAGAACAAAAATTACTTCTTTATTAATTCACAGAGTATATGCTGAGAAAATTCTACTTTGGAGTTTTCGATCGGAGTGAGATTTCAGGTAAATAAATCGCTTACGCGCTTAATACATATACACACACACACACAGGCATATTTATGGAGGAGGTGTGAGTGGGCTGCAGCCCCCTCCGACGGTTTATGAAAATCTAAAAATTATTTCCATGGACTCTGAAAGGCGCTACAATAGTCTTAAATTTCTTTTAATTGATTTTAAATCTAACTTTACAGACATTTAGTACCTAATATACATTTTGATGGATGTTATTTTATGATACATTAAATATAATTTTAGATTTTGAGCGAAGCGAGGAATGTATTTGTTTTACAATGATGTTTATTATTATAAATATATTTTTTTTTTCTATGGACAATTTTTCTGCCAGAAATTTTGTTCCGATTCACAATGATAGTATTTTTTCTGAAAGAAAATCTGACTGGGAAGATACTTTAGTGAAGACACTTTGTGATTTTCTCAGAAGTGTTCGAATAAATGGGAAAAACGTAGGAAGAACGGGAAAATGGGTAAAATATTAAACAAATATTATATACGAACGCATACAAATGTATAATGCATATGCAATTATTTTACTATAACATAACATATATATATATATATTGTTGACAAAGCAACACTATCAACCGAATTTCGCTCAGAATCGTTTATTCGTTAGTAATGGTTAATATCGTTGCTTACGGATATACATTGAATTAGCCATAACGGTGACTGCAACCGTCCCCGCATTAATCTAGGACAGCTTTATTTATTTTACTGTACGTTTCAAACAACCCTCTCCGAAATAAAACACACACACACACACACACACACACATACACGAAAATCAATTATAGTAAAACGCCGATTTCTTACCTACGTGTAAATTATATTTTTAGACATAAAAAAACAATTAAGAATAACAATACATTTCCTATAGCGAATTCGGCCGTTGCGTAAAATTCGAAAGACCCGCATTGTTACGGTACGACTCTCGCGTGTTTGCCACCGGCCGCCGTTGCCGCGTGACGCTTAGGTTATTAGGTTTTTACGGCGGCGGCCACGACGACGACGACGACGACGACGACGGCGTTCATTACGCGGCCCTTTTCAGCGGCGGCCCTTTTCATCCGACCGAGCTCACCGCCCCGCGGTGCGCCGTAGTCCCAGGCGTATGACCGCCGCCGCCGTGCACCGACGACGACACAACAATATCTATACGCGCGAATATTATCGATTCCGCCCGTGGCCCCGCTGGCCGCTATAACCACGTGGACGCGTCGTTTTTCACTCTCGCGACCCGTCGTCGGGGTGCCCGTCATTTCCCGTTACGCGTACACACGTAATACACGCCCACGCCCCCATATTCGCCATGCACACTACGATATTGCTAATGCAGTTATTACTACTGCTACTACTACAACATTACTACCACTACTACTACTACTACTACTACTACTACCACTACTACTACTACTACTACTACTATTACTACTACTACTATTTTTTTTTTTTTTATACCCTGAATCGTCGACCCGGTGGAGAACTGTCTACGCTCTGCTTTCCCACCGGGCCGCCGTCGTGTATTAACGTCATGCGCGTTCGCAATAACAGCCAGACAGAAAAATTAATCAATAATAATTAATAACAATTAATAATAATATTAGAAGAGGTTGCGCTCAGCGATCTGGCGGCGATCTGCCATGCTATGGCTACTCATTTTGTTCCTTATTCCTTATTCCTCGCCCACCTGAGTGTCTAGTTCCGAGCGTCTTCTCGTCCATCGATCGCAATTAAAGAACGTACGCTCAGAATCGTTCAATGGATATCCACAAGCAGTGCAATCCGGATTTGCCATCCGAAAAGATAGGCTTGAAAGCAACTGTTCCCCGTCAAGAACTGGGTCACCGTGGGTACGACTTGCCCAACGGCGTACGTCCGGCATTAGCCGCCTCGTCCACACTCCAGTGGTGGTTCCCTTCTCTCATTCTTGCTGCCACCAGCCCCACATATTGTTGTCCACTATTCTCCTGGCATTTTTTTATCCGTTAGTTTTAAGCCACCGTGGCTCACACCGACCACGTGCTATCAAGTGTATTGGGATTATACCAGCCACGATCAGGATAGCTCCAGTAGACACCGTTCATAGACGCTAGTTACCTCCAAAGTCATGGTGCGTTGAGGACCAAGTAGTAACTGCCTATGGTTCTGAAAAACCAGTAATGAACACCACACAGGGGCTATATACAGCAACTGGCTGTATACCACTGACGAAATTTTCTCTTGACCGGTCTAGGACATCCAATATTCGGCATTAGAGCAGTCGTCGTATTAATGGCCTTCTCCCGCACCAATTGTATATGCTCCTTGAAATTGAACTTTGAGCTAAGTTTAACGCCATGGTACCTAATGTGGTCTTTAAGCTCCAATGTCTCGCCTAGAAAAACAAAATGCGGACGTCTGTAGTGTCACTTAGATGTCACCGTCATAGGGACTGTCTTGCTTACCGAGATCTTCAGGCCGTTGCAGCCCATCCATTAGCCAACCAGGTTCAGCCTGTTGTTCATAGAGGCCTTCAACACGTCGGTATTTCTACCAATTCTAACTACCACAACGTCATACGCAAAGACAACTGTTTCTATTCCGACTGGTAAAGGTTGGTGCAGGAGGTCATCATAAAAAATGTTCCATAGTGTAGGTCCGATGATTGATCTTTGCGACTACTACTACTACTAGTACTACTACTTCTACTAGATACTACTACTTTTTTTTTCTATCTTGAATTGTCGACCAGGGAGAGGACTGGCTGTTCTTTGGTTTCCAGCCTGTCTGCCATGAGGTTTATTGACTTAATAAAAAAAATAAACGAATAAAATACGAAAACGATGTTTTTGTCCCGCCTTCTGTCTAGCCATCTTCGATGCCGTTTCTACTACCGATTTCTATGCTTTCCACTACTACTACTATTATTTCTAATACTACAGCTGAATTTACACTAATACATTTTAGTACACTAAAGCGAATTTTTTAAAAGAGTACTAAATGGGTTTAATGATTGTTCAGTAAATAATTGACCGTTAATAATTTGGTATAGTTAATTCTAGTGGTAAATTTTCGTACGTTTTCTTGAAAAAACTGCAGTTATCCCTGCATAAATACCCCTGTTAAAATTGCATATTAATAACTATCGAAGAAATAAATAGTTCGATAAATGAGGAAATGAAAAAAAAAAAAATTTGGACAAGAAAATGGAACGAGATAACGATTCGCTCTTAAGTGAACTTGCAGAATATGTGACCGAGTTTACAAATTGCACGAGAATGAGTCCACCAATGTTCAATACCTTAGTTGCCAAACAGACACTAGATAACAGTGATAACTCATTAAAAACGTATTTTACTCGTGATTTTACTAACGTCAGTGATAAGTTAATGTCGTGGTTAAGTTATGGTTAAGTAGATATACGAGTAGAATTAGCAAGTCCAACTGGGCCGAGAAAATTGAAGGAACCGTTTTTTAGTCGCTCGACTATTTTTAATAATTTGAAAGGGGGCCACAAATTTATTAGCTTAAACTTATTTTTAGGACGGAGAGGGGTTTAGAGTTTAGGGGGAAAAAGGCCATTACAAGTGAACATTATCGTAATGGTACATTTAAACAAAACAATTAATAAAACTGGTTGATAGTTTGTACTATATATATTGAAACAAACAAATTATGTATTTAATTTATAATAACGGACCTACACTTATTAGTTTCGGAGCCGTTTCGTTAATGCGCGTAAATTTGGCTCAAAGTAGGAGCGGGGCACCGTAAGGATGGCTCCCCCAACACAAAAAAACATCCCGGGAAAACTAAAGGTATACAAATTCTAAAAAATCGCATAGCAAACTAATTGCAAAAATATTGTGAAAATCTGGAGTCTCTAGCTCAAAATGGGTGTGGCCGAGAGGGGGGGGGGATAAAATGCACGCACGTCTTTCGTTCGGTGCGGCCTGGGAATCTGTCGGTGCATTTGTATCAACTGTCATAAATTTGCATAGCTAATCCATTTAATCGATTCTAATGAATAAAATATTTGACCTCTGACATCGTATTTCGTAAGTCGTTCTAACAGTTCATTAACATTTGGTACCTAAGACTTTTACCAATATGTGACATAATGCTATATTATATTGTATTGTTGACAAAGCAAAATTATCAACTGACCTCGGCTCAGAATCGTTTTTCGTTAGCAATGGTTTATCGTTGCTTACAGATATACATTAAATCCCCGTCTGTACCCTACCTTCCCAACTTCCATCTACAACAGTGACTGAACCAACGTGCGAAGTATGTCCGTCATTTTTTTCTTTATTCGGTATCGCCGACCCAGGAGAGAACTGTCTATGCATTACCACTTCTATGTGTTACTTAATACTAGGGCAGAGGACTTGTATCATTTGCATATTTGTTTTGCACAGTCACAAAAATAGCGGAGTACAAAACAAATACGTTTCATGCTTTAAAAAAGCTAGTTTTGAAATTTTATTTTGCATATAAATGCATATTTTGTGTCCTTTTTGTTTATAGTGCATATTTTACACTTTTATCCGTCATTTTATAATTTTTGAGACATATTTAACTTGCATCAATATTTGCCACACCGATGTTTCAATTTCAAACAATCAGTCAAAATGTTTGGATAAAAATGTATTTATTNGATAAGGCAATAATACTAATTTGCTGGAATTATTTTTATCTAGGTAGATAGTCGTTTACGATTATTTACGTATACGTTTATTCGATTAGGATTTTTATTTATAAAACGTTTCTAGAAACGACAATAATCAATATTTTAATATTTAGTCTCAGTCAGTTCTGCGGAATGTACATTCGTATTGATTGTGCCGACTTATTAGCCGTGTTATAAATTTATTTGAACATTTTCATTTCATATTTGATATTTGTAATAAAATGCCGAAAGATAAACAGCGTTTAAGTAGTCGGTTAAAATGTTTTGTGTCTGAGTTTGGTGCCTGTACGTTTTCGACCGACGGTAAAGTCCTGTACTGTAAGTATTGTGACGTTAAAGTAGAGAGTGAAAAAAAATTTTTGGTGCATATTATGGGGTTTTTTAGTGCGTAAGTGCTTGCATATTTACAAGTCCTCTGCCCTACTTAATACTATTATTACTACTAACCACTCACCATTAGTGCGAACCGCATTTATTTTCGGGGAGTCGTGAAATTCAAGCAATTTTCTCGACGAGAACATTCTTTCGGAGGGTAACGGTGTTAGCGTTATTATACCTGCGCTATAATACAGGCGTTATGTCGGAAATTGCAATAGAAATATAAATTATGTAACTGTGTGTTTGCATACCACTTGGGAAAAATCTTATTGCATAATATAAAGGTGAAGGACGGTTGTGAACAAGCCCGGAACCCAGCACCTGTACAATTTTACCGCCGGGTTATTACTAAAACTAGTAATAAGTATACACCCGCCTATAGCGTTTTCTATATACGCAAAGAAACGTATATTGATGTATAGAAGCTGCCGCAATAATGTACGTAATAATGTTACCGCCGGTTACCGGGTTTTTATAGGTTATCGGACGTTAGCATTACCGCGAATCTGCTGGATAAGGTTTAGGGCGCCGCGTTTTGTACGCAGAAAATCAAGTATACATTATATCATACTATTATACGCGTGCGCGTGTGAGGAATTTCCCTGAATAGGTTTTTTTCGTAATTTTTTTTTTTTTTTTTTTTCAAGGGTTTGAAATCGATTTTCGCGTACGCGTGTTATACGTATAGAGGTAGTCACCGCCCGACCGCCGACGCCACCACACCGTCGACCCGGTCCGCGGCCCTTGTCCGCTTGGCGCGGAAAACAGTTGCATGAGTTGTGCGGGAATCGATCGCGTTATTTAAGAGGAGAAAAATTGTTCGCGTCTAGAACAACCCAATATAAGTATCCCGTAAAAATTGCATGTCTTTACGGTTATTTTTAACTGAATTAAAATTAAAAAAAAAAAAAAAATAATAATAATAAAAATAATGCAACCGTTATTATCGTAAACTTACTTATTGTTTTTCCCCAATTTCACCTAGTCATTAAGAAAACTGTAAGGAAAATTCGAAAACTACCGCTTCAATTTAACAACTGGATCCAAAATGCTACAAATAAGCTATTTTGTCACTTTTTGATTGGTACAAGATTTCTGGTAGAAAAGTTGATTACAGACAAACTAACAACAAAAAAGAAATTGCACACATCGTATTAAAACCAATCTAGCTAAAACTCGTAAAACCTCTCTGCGCTCAGAATATAAATAAAAGCACCACACATCATAATAAAACTAATTCATGTGTCCTTGCACACAGAATCGAATAAAAAAAAATCTCACATAATATCGTTTGCAGTTAACTGGAAAAATAATATTTTTAGAAAGTATATAAAATATGTTTTTGGTTTTTATCGTAATCTTATACATAAAACTAAATGAATAACAGAATAATTTATGGTATATATTGAGGAAATCAGAGATTTTAAAATAAATAAGTAATTTGTTTTAAGAGAAATATTGTGCTTATTATTATTTTTTAGATACTGAGTTTAGCGAAGAATGTATTGGTTTTACAAAGACGTTTTTTTTTTTTTATATGATCACTTTTTCTACAAGAAAGCTTACTCCTATTTCCAAGTATAGTACCTTTTCTGAAAGTAAATGTTCTCTGAATAGTACTTTAAAGAGGTGATTTTTTTGGAATTCTTATTAATATTCGAGATAATGAGGAAAACCTAGTTCTTTAGGTTAAAAAAGATTGAAAGATTAAAAATAAGGTTGTCATTGGCAACCGTTTTTATTTATTTTTGTTGTTATTAAGTTTTAATTATTTTAATATTTTTCAAACAATCATTGTTGTCATGGAAACGCACATTGTTGTAATTGTTTTACCGTGACATATATTGTTGACAAAGCGACACTATCAACTGAACTTCGCTCAGAATCGCTTTTTCGTTAGTAATGTTTTATCGTTACTTACAGATATACATTCAATTCCCGTCTGTATCCTACCTTTTCAACTTCCCACCTACAACAGTAGCTGCGCCCATGTGCGAAGTATGTCAGTCCTCTTTTTTTTTTTTTTCCTTTGCTTGACATTAAATCTAGCAGAATGCTTTGGAAATGCATGTTACAATATTATAATGTTACAACGGTCACAAATAATATGAATTATTTGAAAGCGCTTATGTTTATGTTCAATAATTTTCTACTCAACTCTAAAATAATTCATTTAGCGTAACGAATAGGTGATTTTAGTATATCGCCGCCGTTAGTCGCCCTTATAGCATTGTTGGGGCTGCAGCTGCTACCTCAGAATCCCGTCTGTCGTGCACCGCTGTCTAACTCGGAAAATAATGCGAGCGGCGTTTTTCCCGTCGGTATAAAATACGGTGAAATCCAAAATACCGGCCGTCCGCGCGTTTATTAATCAATCATAAATATTATTATACTAAGTATAATTACATACTGGCCGTCGTCATCACTTGGCCGAGCGTCTCGCCGTTCTGATATCCGTGTACAACGATGCAATATAATTATTATTAATTATATTCTATTATATAGATTGCGAAATTAGCGGACGTGGACCTTTTTGCAGGG